CCCTCTGCCCTGGGAGGGCAGAGAGGTTGCCAGGCCTGATCAAGGGAGGCCAGTGGGCCCGCTGACCAATGGGAAGCTCAGGAGCGTCTCACCCTGCCTAATGGTAGGGTTGCCAACCTCCAGGTGGCACCTGGAGATATCTCGCTGTGACAGTTGATCTCCAGACGACCAGGATCCACCCCCCTGGAGAAAACGGCAGCCTTGGAGGGTGGAGTCTCTGGCGTTACACCTGCCTGAGGCCCCTCCCCTTCCCAAACCCCCGTCCTCCCCGGGCTCCGCCCCCCCAAAAAACTCCAGGTATTTCCCAACCCAGAGCTGGCAGAAGGGGGCTGGGCTCACTTGCTCGCAGGGCGGAGCCAACCCAAGCGGGGGAGGGGGCTACAGAGCTGGCCGGCTGGACTCTCTGGGGAGGACAGCCCAGGGGACCGGGGGGGGGGCAGCTAGAGTGGGCGGGGCCCTCCCCTATCGGGCTTGACGGTCCAGCCTCTACTCGCCAGTAGGGAGTTATGGAAATGAATCCTCCCCTGTTAATTCAAAAAAACCTTGCCTATATATAAAAAAGCAGCAACTCTCCTCTGCCTGTTCTTTGATATGGTAGTCTTTAATGGCAAAGCTAAAGGTAAAGGTTTTAGGTTTCCCTTGCTTGCAAGCCAGCCGAATCCGACTCTAGGGTTGCGGAGCTCATCTCCGTTTCCAAGCCGAAGAGCCAGCGCTGTCCAAAGATGTTTCCGTGGTCATGTGGCCGGCATGACTAAACACCGAGGCGCATGGAACACTGTTACCTTCCCACCGAAGTGGGACCTATTTATCTACTTGCAATTCCTTGCTTTCGAACGGCTAGGCTAGCAGGAGTCTTTCATGGCAAAGCGAATCCATCATAATTGGCCCCATCGGCCATCCGGAATGGTTCAACTCGTGCAGGTCTTTACCGCTAGAGAGCAAACAAGGCCTGAGAATTGGTACTCCCTCTAGACGGGGAACACGAATGGGCTCCGATCCAGCCTACCCCCGCCCCCCCCCAAACATGCACTTCATGCTATACTCTGGCGCCAGAAGAGACACACACAGATTTTGCACTCCGATACTGATGAGCGGAGCCTCCCGCCTAGTAGTGGTGACGCCATTTGCAGCTGAAGATCACCCATTCTCCTGTTCTGTCTTTTCCCTCTCGCCTTGACAAAGAGGGATCCTTAGTAAGCTGAGCCTTAGGAAAGTGCTCCAGGAGCAACTCCGCTCTGATTCACTGACTACAAATCTAAGGAATTCATTTTCAAAACAAGGAAACAAGTGTGTGCGTGGGGTGGGGAAATGGATATATTTTTTTTAATTTTCACTGACTGGCAGTCGATTTTTCCATGAGACGGCTCCTTTGGTGCCGCCAGGCCTCCGCTGTGAGCTCTGCTTTTCAAAACAGAAAAATACAACACGCATGGCCGCAGAGGCACATATGTGCAGTTCACACTTGGGACAGTGTGGCTATTTTGGGAGGACTCTAGCAAACAGAGAGGTTGACCTCGGAGCCTTCTGCCCCTAATCTGAGGTATGTTTCCTTAGAAATAAATCCCACCTGCACTCAGTGCGATGTATCCTGCAGTGGGTTGTGCATAATGTTGCCAGGATTCCAAAATGTGTGGAATGAGGTGTCCACAAACACACACACACACCCATGAAAACTGAGCGGTCCAAAGGGAATTTGTCATCACAGAACAGGGGAAGAGGAGCAGGGAGGAAAGCCAGACGTTCCACGGGGGCAGCAGCACCCATCCCTCCTTGGGTCGCTCAAGAGAAGGCCTGTGGGATAATAAAATGTGGTGCACAGAGTTTTGAGCATGTATGCACAACACTTGTAGGATTTCAAAGTGCAAGCTGTACCAGGAAAATACGGAGAGGACCGTTGTACATTCAGTTGTTATATGCATTGAGAGGTACAAAATCCTTCAAAATTTAAAAAGGCAGAACTCCATAAGAACATAAGAAGAGTTCTGCAGGATGAGACCAGTGAGGGTCCTTCTAGTCTGAGCATCCTGTCTCACACAGAGGCCAACCAGTTCCTCCGGAGGGCCAGCAACAGGGCAGAGCGGCCGAGGCCTTCCCCTGATGCTGCCTCCTGGCTGTGGGATTTGAAGATTTAGTGCCTCTGAATGTGGAGGTTTCCCTCAGTCACCATGGCTAGGAGCCATAGATAGACCTCTCTTCCATGAATCTATAAAAACGTCAGAAGAGCCCTGCTGGATCAGACCAGTGAGGGTCCACCTAGTCCAGCAACCTGTTCCTCTGGAGATCCAACAACAGGGCAGAGAAGCCAAGACCTTCGCAGATGTTGCTTCCTGGCACCAGTATTCAGATAGCCACTGATAGACTGCTCCTCCATGAATCGGTCTAATCCCCTTTTAAAGCTTTCTGTGCCTGTGGCCATTACTACATCCTCCGGCAGTGAATTCCACATTTTAATCACTCCTTGTGTAAGAAAAATCATTTCCTCCTCATCAAAACAATAATTTCTATACTGTTTGATGATCCACCAGGGTGGGTATAGGGGAAAGGGAAACGCAAGTCATGTCATTTCCCATTCCATAAATCTCTTAATTTCAGTGGGAATGAACCATATTCTTAAGTATATACCAGCGAAGTCACTGGAATTACATTTAAATGGTATTTCATGTAGGGTCATTAACTAATGCGGAGTAGTAATTTCACACTGACTTTGTTCTGTGCCTGAGAAGATGAATGGAATTTCTGCGCTTCTCCTTAAATTTTAGGAGAACAAGGAGTTAAAACGACTATTTGCTATAATTTTATTTACTTACTTGAGTCTGAAAGAGAAATTAAATAAGTAAGTAAATAAATAAATAAATAGCAGTTCACCTTTCTTCTAGAAACTCAAGGTGAATCACACAATTAGAAAATAATGCAATAAAAAGCATGCAGAATTAATTTTCAATATTCAGATAAATTTATTGGCATTGGGCATTGTTTTAAAATGTTTTGAAACAATAAGGTAAAGCCTTCGACAGCATAAGGTAAGAGATGAAGCGATTCCCTGTGCATTTTATGAATTATTGTAATACTTCTTTGCTTCTCTCTGCAGCTGGAAGCATGAAGTGCTATATTAAAATGTGTTAAGTAATAATTTGTATTTGTATTTTTGTGTCATATCAAAAATGTAATTTTAAAATGGTGAAATACGATATTTTGTTCCATCCCAGTAGCCTACAGTGAGTTGCTTCCTGCCCATATAAAAATATATGCAAATTAAGCATGTGCTCCTTTGTCTAACCCAGAAGAACAGAAATGCACATAAGAACAGCTACTGCTCCTTCTATGGATAACTAAATCAAAGCCATTAGGGCAGCAATGTACCTAGGAACACTCTGGTACAGTCCTGTGTTGAAGCAATATATGTATGTAGCACTGCTGATAGGTAAACATAGCTGTCAGTTACAAAAGTATTTAGTCACTCCCTCTTCAGGCTTTCTTCAGACATCTAGGCACTAATAACAAATGTTTCCAGATATCACTCAATCATATTAATTTTTCAGTTACAATTCATTCTAATAGTATTATTAATATTACTCCTCACAACAACCTTGTGATATAAATTGTTTTGAGGATAAAGTGGAGCAGAGAAAAACAATATAAGCTGCTTTGGGTTCTCACTGTGGAGAAAGGTAAGGAATAAACAAACTAAAATCTAAACAAATAAGAGTAGTAAATAGTTTCTGAATCCTGTGTTGATGGACTGGATCCCCCACACAATATTTTTAATCACTACAATGAGTAGTAGCCAGTAGCCCAGGCACACGCCTGGAGTAAGAGGCAACCAGCACAATCCAAACACAGTCCGGGGTCACAGGACCAGTACCCAGAAGTCTGAGCAGCCAGCAAGAAGGGCAAATCCAGAGAGCCCAAGCCGGGCCGCAGTCCAGAAGGCCCGACACACGGAGGTCTAGAGCGAGGCAGGCGCACGGCCACAGCAGGCACACGAGGGTCACCTGTGGGTCCATTCCACACTGGCCCACCCTTTCCTGGCTGCTTTCCCCAGGGACAGCCCTGCAGAGTCATGCAGGGGCAACTCATCGACAGCTGAGCAGGTTCGGCGGCTGCCTGTCCTGATCCTGTGCTGCTGACTCAGACGCCCTGACAGAGGCGGACCCATGCTGGGCTGCCAGCCACACGCCATGGGGCCGGTTCGGCGCCTCCCTCCAGGCCCACATCTTCTCTGGCGTTCCAAGAGCTCTGGTGACCTCGGGGGTGAGGCTGGCAGCTGGGGCGCTTCTGGCGACCACATCCCAGGCATACGGCGGGTGGCTGCGGGGCTTGCCCTCCGGCTGCGGGAAGGAGGGCATGGGGTGCTGCTGCTGGGACTCTCCCTCTGCCCCTGACGACGTCTCCCCCTGGTCCAGTGGGTCTTCCTGCAGCATCCTCCATCTCTTCCTCCTCCGAAGAGGCACCGGCAGGGCGGCAGACCCACGACGACGACACTGACCGTTGGAAAAGCGAAGACTCTCAACAATGCCTGCAGTCTTCAGAGTGCACGGGAGAGCCAAGTGCCCATTTTGAACATAATCATCACAGACGAGAAAGGGGGATTCCCGTTTACAGACTGAAGGCTGGTGGCTGTTTGGCTAGGCAGCAGAGTCACCCCACACTGGAGAGCCCCACCCCCACCCCCACCCTTTGCACTGGCCCTGCGCGGCATCAGCCGCAGCCTTTGCAGAGCCCATGTCCTTTGGAGCCTCTGGGCTTAGACGGGTATCACTCTGCTCACGACTGCACTGCTAAGTCTCCTGTCAGGTTGTTACAGGGAATCGTTGTAGTCAAACAGCAGCATTTTGTATGAGAACAATTCCAGAAACTCAGCCCATGGAAGTCAGTTACAGCAAAAGTGGACTGGGGTCTCGTGGCGGTGGCCCTGGGACCAGGGGCATTGGATTAACTGGGGGTGAGCAGAGTGTTTGCAGAGGATATCAGACTATTCAGGAGGATGGAAACCAAGGGTGATGGTGAAGAGCCTCAACAAAATCTGTCCAAATGGGGTGAGTAACAGCTCCGCAAATGAAGTTCAATGTAGGTCAGAGTGAGGTGACGGGAACCCTTTTCTTATGCGGAAAGGCTAAAGCAGGGGTGGTTTTGTTACGAGGGCCGGATCTGACATAAATGAGACCTTCTTGGGCCCCTGGGCCATGTGTGTCATGAAATCTAATGCCAGGGAGCGGGGATATAAACTTTATAAAGAACACAAACACAGAGGGGTTTCTTATTTACTTAAAATAAAAACATGCTTAAAACATGAGCTCTGTTAAAACTGCAAACCTACTTTTGATTTATTGACATTCACCACAGAAATCTCACGCTCAGAGTTCTGAGTCTAGGGCCCAGGTCAAAACATGAGATGGCTGAGTGATTAAGAGAGTCTGGCGAAGCAAGCTAGGATGCAGCAGCAGCAGCAGCAGCAGCAGAACTGGGAGCAGGAGATGGCCGGTTCCACTGCGGGTCTGATGGAAGCCCTCCGGGGGCCTGATCCAGCCCCCAGGCTGCATGTTTGACACCCCTGGGCTAAAGACTCTGGGGCTTTTCAGTTTCAGGGAGGGGGAAGGCAATTAAGGGGGATCGTTATAGAGATTTATAAAATTATGCATAGAACAGATAGAGTGGACAGGGAAATCTTTTTCTGCCTCCCACGTAACACTGGGACTTGGGGACACCCAATGGAGTTGAGGGGCAGCAGTTGGTGGAGCATTGCATCCAGATCGCACACCCTGTGGCGGGTCACCTACGTGGCCGTCCAGTGGGGGAGCACCCACATCAGTGTTGCACTCCAACCACGGGACGAGCCGTAAGGGTAGGTCTTATTTAAATGCAGGCGGATGGATGCGCGTGTGCCTACAAAACCGATGCCTACATGCCTACAAAACTGACCAATAGCTTTCTGCACATGAAGTACTGATTAGAGCATTGGCTCCTCGTTATAAGGTGACCCTGAGGAAGGATTTCTAATTCGAAACTGAAAAGTACTGAGGCCGATGGGTGATTTCAGCTCTCATACTTTTATTTGTGGTTCAGAACAGGACAAGGAGCTTGCAGGCCAGCTTATATCCCAAGTTCTCCCAGATAAGAGTCCGCACTCTTAACCACAACACCAAACTGTCCTGTACAATTGCTCTCCCGTTACAGACCTCTTCATCTGCCATATTCCAGTGCATCTGGAAGAGTGTGCCGTGTCTTGCCTTGCACACGGAAGCTCCTGCCTTGAATAAACCTTCACTGGTCCTAAAGGTGCCTGACTGCACTCTGAGTTTGGTCAGTCGCTCTCCAGGTGACCAAGCCCAGTGGTTGCCCTTTGGAGGGCGGACTCCATGACGTCATACTCTGCTGAGGTCCCCCAAAAGCCCCGCCCTGACCGTGCTCCACCCCCCCCCAGAACTCCAGGCATTTCCCAGGCCAGAGCTGGCAACCCCAGGGTGGGTGTGAGTTGACCTGCTGAGAGTGAGCAAACGGCAAGCCTCTAATCCGGGAGGTCCGGGGTTGATTCCCCACTCGTTCACATGCAGCTGCTGGTGTGACCTTGGGTCAGTCACAAGTACTCTCAGAGCTGTTCTCTCAAGGGCAGCTCTCGGGAGAGCTCTCTCAGCCCCACCCACCTCACAGGGTGTCTGTTGTGGGGAGGGGAAGGGAAAGGAGATTGTAAGCCACTCTGAGACTCCTTTGGGTAGTGAAGGGTGGGGCATAAATCCAATCTCCTCCTCCCCCTCCCCCTCCTCCTCTACTTCTTCTTCTTCTTCTTCGTCTTCTTCTTCTTCTTCTTCTTCCATGGGCTACTGCCACAAATAACAGAGGGAAGCCTCCATAGCCAGAGGTGATAAACCAGTGGCTGGAAGCCACATCACCAGGAGTCTGGCCCCGCCCACCGTGGCCTGTTTCTTGGCTACTCAGGGCAGCCTGTTGGTCACTGTGCAAGACAGGACGCTGCACAAAATGAACCACTGGCCTGATCCAGCAGGGCACCTCTGACGTTCTTAACAAGACTTCGTTCTGGCTTTCCAGGTCAGCTGCAATGAATGAGTCTTCACTATGGCCGTGCTTTATGTAGGAGGCACGGAAAGAAAAACAAACAGAGGGGTCAAAGGGCCATGAATGCAGGAAGCGCAGGGCGAGAAACAGAATTCTGTAAGATTCAGAGTCAGCCTTCCTCCGCCAAGGAATTCCTGCGGTGTGCAGCGACTAAACTGGGATCAGCTAAGAGGTTCCTTCTGCCTGGGTTGATTAGGGGTTCAGGGTTCTTATCTAGCAATGGGGCTCAACTCTCTTGGCAAAATCTGGGGCTCCTTACACATTGCTGGTGTCAACTTGCTTAGCATAACTAAGGAATGGTCTCTGTCTTTTTCTTAATTAATTTGGACGCTCTAGAGTTACATTTCAGTCGGCACTTCCTCCGTTTCGCGGCCCCGTGGCCCTGCTCTTTTCGTACTTCCTACACAGAATGAATGCATAGTGAGGGTCCACTCATTACATCTGAATAAGCGGGCGCTAGTCCACAAAAGTTTACTGGGATAATATTTTATTAGCCTTTAAGGTGCCACAAGAATTTGTTTATTTTTATATGAAAATATGTCCGACAGATGCTTGAAGCAATACAGATGACTGTTTCCTACAGCCTGGATGCAAAACTGAAGAGCCTCAGTACCACGCCGTTGGGAAGTGTAAATTCTTCAGAATTTGGGCCAGATATTGGAATCAGCAACTTACCCGCTCTAAGCCAGCAGTGGGAGAAGATATTGGTGATACCGGAATAGAAGACTTTAATGCACTGTCCTGAAATTTTGGAAGCAAAAATTCAAGCAGGATAATTTGTCTAGCTATATATGGTTACCACACTTACCTCCAACCCTGAGAAATCCATACAATCTTTATTCAGCTATGAATAAAGTCCTTACATTGGCTTTATTCTTGGCTACACAGGGCAGCCTGTTGGTCGCTGTGCAAGACAGGACGCTGCACAAAATGAACCACTGGCCTGATCCAGCAGGGCACCTCTGACGTTCTTAACAAGACTTAACAAGTGTTGCTTCTGGTACTGAGATTTCATTTTCAGAACTATTAAATAATCTTATGCTACTACAGTTTTAAAACTCTCCGTAAAAACAACTAGACAGTGCCTCTTTCCAACACTTGGCACAGCAGGAGAGCGAGTAATGTTAAATATTCTGCAGAATCCAACTATCATCTGAAGCACTACATATGCCTGTGTAGGAGATCTAAACGGGCAGCTTTAAATCCAACCGGAATGAAACCCGCTGTATGGCATTTCATGAGATCACCAAGAATAACGAATTATGAACTCATCTTCACAAGTAATTAATGGCAGTTTTTTTTCTATTCATGCTAAATTAAGGGAATATTGGCTGTCGATTCCCTCCCTCACTGCAGATCCTCATTTTGCCCCCTATACTGTTCTTGAGGGTCCAGCGACCCTCCCACTTCAGGAAACACATTTCATGAGGCTCAGAGGGCTGCAGTGGGGAAGTCCCGTGCCACAATCTTTGCTCTGTTAACAGATCTTGCTGAGTGGGATATACAGGCTCAAGTCTGTTTAAAGGATCAACAAAATACAGCGGGGCTGGACATTCTAATCTACAATCGCCTATTGAAAGAATGGGTATTTATTAGTAAGATATGGGAGAGAGAGAGAGTAAGCCTGTGTCTATGCTTTGGACAACAGTCTGGATGCTTAGGTGAGAATCTAGGTCTCCTCCTCGATCCTCCGGGCCCAAAGATTTATTTCATGGTAATTCGGGAAAGGCTTTCTCATGCAAATAACTAAATCTGGATGAAATTGACCGTTCCTGTAGTTCTGCGGAACAAGGGAGGTCTCCATGCGCAGCCCGGTTGCAAATGCCTGGGTCCCCATCAGACAAGGTGATTGCATGTATGCAAATTTGAGGAATGGTCCAACCCAAAGTAAGGACTTTCAAGTCCCACGGAGTTCAACAGAAAGAGGGTTATGCGTGTGCCCCCTAGCCTGTTTATGTGCACCGCGTTTTATCTGTCATGCCATTTAGTCCGACGTCAGTCACAATGAGTTACTACAGGAAAACAACAGCTTTTTATATGAAAATGCATCCGACAGATGCTCGCAGGAATTCAGAGGGTCGTTTTGTGTAGTGTGGAATGTTGATTCCAGGTTATTCAAAGGAGACGTGGAATTCAGGAAGCTGAGCAGAAATTTCACAATACTTTTGGGAAATGCTACTTCTTCAAAAATGGGAATTCTCAAAGAATGCTGAGTGGGATAGACTTCTGCTCATTCCAAATTTAGGAAAATGCAAGACTGACCAGCAAATTACGCCAGAATTCTTTTGAGATTTTTCCTGTAACCCTAAAAGATGGCCTTTTCATACATTCGGTGTCTGAGCCACTGCGGCCTTTGCCACTTCTGCAAGCACTCTTTCGTGGTCAATCAACTGCTGTTGATAAGGCAGCTGGGCCCGAGTCCAGTGGCACCCGAGAGACCACAACAGTTTTCAGGGCATGAGCTTTTGAGAGTCAAAGCACAGGTGTCTGGTGAGTTTATGAATGACTTGGAGTTGGGAATAAGCAGTGAAGTGGCTAAATTTGCGGATGATACGAAGTTGTTCAGGGTGGTGAAAACCAGTGAGGATTGTGAGGCACTCCAAAGGGATCTGTCAAGGATGGGCAAGTGGGCGTCAACATGGCAACGTGCAAGGTGGCCAAGTGCAAGGTGATGCACATTGGAGCCAAAAATCCTAAATATAAATACACATTGATGGGGTCTGAACTGGCAGAGACTGATCAAGAGAGAGATCTCGGAGTCATACTAGATAACTCACTGAAATTGTTGAGACAGTGTGCGACTGCAGCAAAAAAGACCAACACTATGCTGGGGATTATTAGGAAGGGAATTGGAAACAAATCAGCCAGTATCATTATGCCCCTGTATGAACCAATGGTGCAATCTCGTTTCGAGTACTGTGTACAGTTCTGGTCACCACACCTCAGGAAGGATATTATAGCTTTGGAAAAAGTGCAGAAAAGGGCAACTCGAATGA